CAGAGCATGTCAGGCTGCTGGACAATGACACAGCTAAATGCAAGGTCCAAATGTTCCATAAGCTTGAGACCATTCCCCAAGGCTTCTCCTTATGTACAGGAAGCAGACCACGTTCCCTAAGTCAGCTACACAGCTGCTCACAGTAGATTCCACCATGGAGTTGACTACCAGTCTCATCATGGAGAATAGCACATTCAGCTGCCCAGCCATCCAACCAGGCCCAGCCACACACAAACTGAACTATCACACCACTGCCATTCATAGGGATCTCTAGTGATTCTTTTGAACTTTGGTGAAAGTTTGTGATGGATCTATGTGTATAGAAGTACAAGATATTATGTACAATCACTACCAGAAACCACTCATTGGAAAGTCTTACTTGTGAGTACTCCGTTAACTTCCTAAGGTCACATATTTTTTTGGTCCTCAATGAACTATTTTGGATTGCTCTCTGTCTGCTTGCCACTTCATGAGACTTTGACGAGGGACCTGTGCTGAGAACAATGAATTGTAAATTACAGAATTCCCACATGCAGTTCCCTTGGATAGAACTCATAACTTCTTTCTCAGGAGTGGAGGATGATGACAGCAACCCATGGAAACACTTATTATGCAAACTATTCTGTAGTCTTTTTCCCACTGGTTTGTTCTTGTGTGTTGTCCAGATTTTATTTGCTATTACTACAGCTGATACATGTCTAGGTGAACATTGTCACTACAAGGCAGAGTTCCCATCATATCTATTGATTTAGACTCTATAGCTATGGAAATTGTAAAGAACTAAAAGTACTCAAGGCATGTACATAATGTCACCAGCCACACAGATACGTGAGAAATAGATGGAAATTTAGAGATAATCTAGCTGCCTTTTGATCTCTGACAATGAAAAATCCATGATCTGGAAAGATAAACTGGATTGTACTCCATATATTTGTAGACCTGTTTATTAGAAAGTCAGAAACCCATGTATCATCTCAATTCCTTCTATGGTCTAATGTTATTGTGCTTCATCTTAATGATATTACATGCGGTTAAGGCAGTGCCTGACATGTACATTCATGGATTTCCTGAGCATT